TTTCTTAAAAAAATTATTTTAATTAATATTACTGCATTGGCTGCCAAATTACTGTTTCCAACAGTAATTTGACTGTCTTAGACAATAATATTACTGTTCGGGAAAATAATATTCATAATATTACTGTCCCAAACAGTAATATTACTGTCTGAGACAGTAAGTTAGTAGCCAAGACTGTAATATTAATTAAAATATGTTTTTCTAAGAAAAAAAAAATTCGACAAAAAAAAAAAAAAAAAAAAAGTCGACGCCGGAGAACGGCGGTCAACAGAGGTTGACCGGCCGGAAAAAATTTCAGGAAAAAAAGTAAGTTTTCAAAAAAAAGAAGAAAAAAAAAGTCAATGCCGGAATCTGGCTGAAAAAAAAAATTCAAAAAAAAATATTTTGGGGGTTAATGTGATATATTTGTTTAAATCCGGGGTCAATGTGTAATATTAAGAAAGTTAGAGCATAATGGATGGAATTGATGAGAATTATATTATGAAGGGTATTTACTATTTAGACTAAAGACATGGGGATGAGTTTAATTGAGAGACTGTTTTTTTTGTGGATCAATATACATTTAAGTTCCATATGATGGGCCTTTTTGCCATTCGCCCTAAAAAAAAAAAAAAACAAAAACAAAACCTGCTGCCATAAAAAAACATAATGAGATTACAACTAATAATTAATGACATCTTCAAAAAAATAAACCTGTTGTCCCATCACAAAAGAAGTCCAACTACATCAAAAGATTAAAAGTATCTGAATGTGGCCACATTGATTACCAAAAAAACTTACCGGTTTTTACTAACTACCAAAAGACGTCTTTTTATATCCCAAATCGGTTCGGTACGGTAAATCGGTTCGGCAATTTTTTTTTCTCCATACACATACCGATTTTTTCGGTTTTTCAAAAAATATTTACCGTGTATTCGGTTTTAAGTAGGGACGGTGTATATCGGCTCGATTTTTTCGGTTTTCGGTTCGGTTTTTCGGTTTCTCGATTTTTATGTTCACCCCTAGTACAAGTTCTCGTCCAATCGCCGCTCTCCATCGTAGCTCCCAATTCTCCAGCGATTAGAAGGTAGATTTTGTGCTAAGGCCTAACTAAAGAGAATTTACAACAGAAGAAAGAAACGGGTTGGGTGGAGTTGGGTTGGGAAATTTTGAAAAAAATTAGGGTTGGGCATTTCCAACTAGGTAAAATCTTAATAATTGTTTCTACTTTATTAAATAAATACATTAGAATTATATTGGATTTTCGTTATTTAACATTGAAAGCCCTTAATTTCATCGTTGAATCTACAGTGAACGAGATTCTGGTGCTGTAGTTATTGTTTTAATTTATTGTGCTAGCACACCCGATATGTGTTGAACCGGACAAAGTGAAATAATTGTTTCATCGCTGTTCATAAATGAAACTGTATTATTTCTTGTTGACAGTAAATTACTTACTCTCTTATCCCTAGATAATTAACGTACACATTTCATTGACGATCTCTGCTTTGCTATCACAATGGGAGATGTTCCTATATTGAGTCAAATGGCCCCCGGTGCATTGGGTATAGGCGTTAAGAAATAATAGGTGGAAATTAATTATCGAAAGGAATCCGCATCTCTGAAATATGAGATTGATAATAACCCTTGAGTAGCTTATAAGATTTGTTTATGCCAAGTCCTGACCAGGTGGATTTCATATCCGGCATACTCAAATAAGTTAAGCGGGTAAGACTCGTTAAAAGAAACCATTTAATTTATTTAGCAATGAATAAATTATTTGATGGTTATAAGATGTCTTAATGTGGACATATTCTAAGTAATCTTCGACCGGAGTTCGAATGTAATATCTGAAAATATAAACGGGAGTTTAATAATTATTTGGTAGTGGAAAATAAATAATATTTAATGATTAATTAAATAAGTTCTTTTAAGAGTTTGGATTTAATTAATTATTAGTTTCCGAATTTATATTTTCTTCTTTAGTCTCTGTTGTAGTCCAATGGATTTTCTAATTAATCGGAAAAAAAAAATTCAACCAATATTATACATTGGAATTAATATAGCCAAAAATTAAGTCCTCATTGGACTACAATTTTCGACTATAGGGAGTTATAGAAGGAGTGGGATTTATTTCCATGTAATCTTTTATATGTGTGACTCTAATTTGCAATTTTCGAAAATGGATGCTTAGCTAACGGAAAAGGACGAGAAAGATCAAATCTGCAAAGTTACGAATACAGAGAATTATGGATCCGATAAACGCTGAAAATGGTTTGTGTGAGCTTGAAAAATCAAGAAAGAAGAGAAAGAAAGTGCAAGTGGATATTGACTGGGAAGATTTGATAATCGAAACTCTGCTCCTTCATAATGTTAAGGAAGAGGATATAGAAAATGGGCATTACAATGCTTTGATGGCTTTGCATGTTTTTTATGACTGTTTGGATTGATGATGAATTTATTTGTTTATGAAGTTTTTTTGTGCATCAGTTCATCACCAACCATATTTATTATTCTAGGTTTAGGTTTAGGGGCTATCTCTTCTGACAATAAGCTCATCACTTTAATATTTATTATAAATAAAGGAAAAATTAATGTATATGACAAAATTACTCGCAATTCCTAATTGTAACTCCAATTTATCAATTTTGACCACAAAAATTCAATTTGATTTTTTTTCTATAACTTTTTGTTTTTCAAAATTATTTTTTTGCCGCCGGTCACCGGCGTTGACTTTTCGATTTTTTTTTCTGGTCTGTTTTTTCCGCCGCTAGATTCCGGCGTTGACTTTTTTTTCGAATTTTCGGGTTTTCGGGTTTTCGAGTCTTGGATTTTCGGCTTTTTTTAGTTATTTTTTTTTCTCATAAAATTTTTATCCGTTTTTTTACGCTCGCCGCAATTCGTTGACCGTAATTGTACTGTCATTAACCGTAATTATACTATCACTGACAGTACATTAACATAATTATATTGTCGCTTAGAGTACACTAACGTAATTGTACTGTCGTTGACAGTACATTTATGTAATTGTACTATCATTGACAGTACAATTAGAGTCAACGACAATATTATTATTTTTTTGGGTTTTCTTTTTTCATTTTGTTTGATTTGTTGCCAAGTCAACCTAATTATATTATTGTCGTTGACAGTAAAATAACTGTAAATACAATACTATTACTGTCAACTACATCAATGTTATTATTTCTTTGGGTTTTTTGTTTTGTTTGAGTTATTGACGGAGCAACGTATTAATATTATTGTCTATTATTGTAGTATAACTTTTTTATAAGGTAATAGAAAGCACAAAAATGTTAAGAGACAAAAAACATTCATGCTTTTAAAATTGGTAGAGATAACTATTTTCATAAAAATATTAATTGACGGTATTTATGTCCGTATACTAATAATTTTATTTTATTTATATTGATTTTATTGATTAAAGGAGTTATACCTATATTCATATAATAAAATGAATTTCTACCTATATAAGTCCAAAATAAAGGGTGCATAGCAAATTTTCCCATAAAATAAAAGGCTTAATTAATTCATAGTGAGAATTATCTTATGTAATGGGGTAAACGAGTGATACCCCTTGTTTTGAAAACATATATGAGGAGGTCCAATGAATTTTTCCATCCTAATCAAAAACCCAAATTCTAATCTTAATTTGTGAGACCCCATGGGCAACTTAATGTACATGTTTTACCCTTTTTATTTTAATTCACAGAATACCCTAACCCTCCTAACATTTTTCTCTTCCTCTCACACCCACAACACATTACATCTCTCTCTCTCTTTCCAACTCTCGCGCCAGATCTGTCCGATATATCTTCCGTCACCGTGGCTAGGGCTTGAGAAGCGACACTAAGATACGATTATGGGTGTACATGGATTTGGAGCGCTCTTTGCCTAGCCCTTGTCGATTCCTCCTTCGCCGCCGCCAAGATCTGAAGCCAAATAAAATGTACAAGACTGCTGGTGAAGAAAAATTCTTGCTCTGGGACGAGGGTTTGGCCCAGTGAGTTATTTAAAATATTTTTTTTCTAATTTTTTTCAATGTATTTTTTGCTGATTTTGTTTTTTGATTCTGTTGAGAAATGGAAATTTCATTTTTTTAGATTTTTGATCGAAGGAGGGGTCGAAGAAGAGAACGATGAAGAGGTCGAGATCTGAAACCAAAGTAAGAGAATATTTATATTTTGGGTACTTTTTTTTTTGTTTCGATTTTTGTGTGTTTGTGGTTTGATCAATCGTTTTGAGTCCTGCACCGCCGAATTCTGATGTTAAAGTATTTTTCTCCCTATTCATCTATCTCCTCTCGATCTCAGTCGGTTTTTTAGTGTTTTCTGGTGTAAAATTGAGTTGCAACAAAAAAAGTCGATGTTGAAGAAGATGGGCAACAGCAGGTCAATTAGAGAGAATCAGATATGTAGTAACATACAGTTATATGTATATACAGTTTATGTAGTCATATACAGTCATATATAAGATATGTAATTCTTTTAATCTACAGTGACGCTGATGGTTGTTTTAGTTGAAAAATTTACGCATATAATTTTTTGAACATATATTGTGGGAATACAAGTTGAGTTATAATAACAAGATTCAAGTTATGATTTTCTTTTTGTGAATGTTGATTGAATATTTCATAAATAATAATCTTTTGTTTTTATAATTTGTTAAACATGACTGAGCTACCCTATATAATCGAGAATATACAATTTTAAGTTGAAAATATAAAAATCGGTATATGAAGCAAGAATATGACTATAAATGATAATAGTCATATATATTCGAAATAGTAAACTTTATGGGGAAAAAATCAGAAAAAAAAAATTAAATTTATATTTTATTTTATTTTTAAATTAATTTAAAAAAGAAAAAAGAAAAAAAAAAAAATCTTCAGTTGGGGCAAAAATTACACATACTAGTTTTTTTCCCTCTTCAGGGGTATCTCAAAGAAATAATCTTGGGAGTGGACTTCTCCATATTAAGGGTGTATATCAATGGGCCCTATGTAATAATATATGAACCAAAACAAATTCCAAACATAAGATAAGAAGAGAATATTATCATGTACAATATAATCCTAACCAATTTAATCAAAATCCAAAGGAAAGACAACAGGCTACTAGTCGCAAATTACAACAAATAATTTCCCAAAGAGCTACCACCTACCTAGTAGGGCATAAAAATTAGCTACCAAAATCTACAAAAATTGTTAGTAGCATCTCGTTCCTTGAATTGTTAAGAAAGCTTCTTGCACCAGAGCCTATACAGCAACCTTTTGCGTCCCAACTTCCACCAAATTGGCAGCTGCTTTGCACGTCTCTTCTTTTTCTTCACTTGTTCTGCAACACAGGAGAATTAGTCGTATACACACAGTTGAGGAAATTCACAGAAAACTTTTGAGCTGCTCTCATGTAAAGGAAATACAATTTTCAGAGTAGTCTCTGTCTAGAGAGCTTAAAGAAATGAACATCATACAACTTAAAAGCCAATAGTTTCGAATTTTCATCTTCGTCTCTTTTCCTTGTTGTACATTTGGAAAACCACAATGTTCATAACTCTGATTTGTAATTTATTTCTGCCCGGATAATTGGTTTTAGCCCATTTAAAGAATGTTCCAAAAGGCCTACGAATCTATTTCTCAATTATTGGAAAAATGAAGTCATTATCATTTAATGAATTGCGAGAAGGGCTCAGCGCACATTTCAGAGTCAAAAGAAAAATATACTAACTTTTGTCGTGCAGGGCATACAATCCCCAGTCGGATTGCAATTTTGACAACTTGGATTTCAGTGAAGGCCAATAGTTTAACTGAACTTCCAGCACTTCTAGAACAGTACGCAGTCCAGACTTTGTGGGTATTACTACTTGCTCCATACTATGTCGTGGATTTTCGCCAAGTAAGACCTGAACGTAACAGAGAACAAATGAGGAAATAACAAGGCTGAATATACATTATACATGTACATATAGAGAGAGAGTAAAAAGATCAAGAAAACAAGTACAAAATTGATTCCAACTAGACCAATCAAAATCGAGGAAAGATGCAAAGACAAAAAAAGAACATCATTATACCAACCACAACTCAAGGAGGATCGCATGAGAGATAACTTATTTATGAAAAGTAAAACAACATTCAACTACTTCAACCTTACAATTTGAACTTCTATGCTCACAACCTTTGGACTATGCATAACATTAATACTGAAAAAATTTAATAGGACACCGAGATACTCCTCCAGATGACAAAATAAATACATGTCCAATGTCCAAAATAACCTCAACTGCATAAATATAGAAAATGAGTATATCCTAGAAGAATAAATGAGTGGCGATGAGATTCAGAGGAACAATCTATTGTTTGGACTGGCTCTGATAAAAAGTTTGACAGCTTCAAATAAATGCATTTCTGGACAAACTGACTCGCATTATCACAATACATAATTACATACGCAACAAGGAAACTCAACCAGCTCAGAAAGGGAGACTAATAAACAATGAATACAAAGTAGAAACATATTACGGTGGACCAGCAAGTAATTGCCATCAGATAAGACTTTATTGACAATTAAATGCCACCTTAATAACTGCAGTAGCAGAGGATGATATGGAGCGAAGATTATACCTGCGAAGGATAGGAATTTATTTTAAACGCATGAGGAGAAAAACAAAATTTAATTGAAAAAAAAAAGATTTAAACAACAAAAACAAAGGTATATTTAAATTGAGATGAATAAGCAACAAACCCGCCCTCAAGGATAACCAGTAGCTTTCCCCCAGATAGATCAGAACACATCTGTGTCATCTGTGCATAGCCACTAGGAGTGATCTAAAAGAATAAAATTTAAAATAAAGTGAAATAAGTGGAAGAACAGAAATACATTATCATCTGTAAAATATCATTTAATTGGAAGCTGATAGAAATATTTAATACATCACAGCGTCCAAGAGGATCGCCCCGTGCAGCATCAAATCCAGCAGAAATGATCGTAAAATCTGGGTCAAACTCAGAAACTGCAAGAAAGAAACTAACATCAGCTGATGCAAGCTAAGTCATCAAGAACATGTATTTAATGCATGTTAACTATATTATTGCCAGGGTATGGTACGTAATAGAAACGATAACAAAATCGGTACTAGGCTGGCAACACCGTCCCTCTAAATATACATATGTTTCCGAAACAAGCAGAAATCCTAGTCATGTAAACAAAAACGTATCAAAATACAATTCAAAATAGTTAGATTCATCTTGCAGCAGATTCACATATACTCATCGAGAATTAGTTACAAAACATGACAAATGAGAAACCAGCTTCGGTAGACTCACTCTTGACCATGTTTCTTATTAGGTGAAATAGAAGGAATGACAGGACTTTGTACGTAGAGCCATATTCCTTATATTCAGGAGAGAACCGTTTCCTTGAGATCTCCGAAACTAATCCCTTGTACGAGATTCAAATGAATAGGTGTTCCCAAGACATATTTCACATTCTGATCAAGTCCTTGTATCAAAAAGAAAAAATTAATAGTTAGTGCGCTAGCAGCACCACCACCAGTCACCAACACTAGTACCACAGCAACACACCATCAGTTCCACCTTTGTAACTTGGCAACAAGACATAACCACTATAACCCTTTTTCTTTCCAATTGCAAACAAACTCCACTGGCACCTCCACTATACAACCACCACCAAACCACGTTTTCACAACAGAAATCCGCTCCAACTTTCTTCAGAATCCTCGATCAGAGAGTCCACCTAAAGCAAATTACCATTCTGCTAACATCTCCACCAACACACATAAACCTCAACAGAGATCGAGGGAAAATGAAGAGAGTAGTGGAGAGAATGATGAGAGAACATGACTTGGTTGACAGAAGATATATATATATATACAAGAGTGTCCCGTCCCAGTTGTCTAAATACAGAGACAAGAGATCTCTTGATTTTTTTTCAGACGCACGACACACTCCAAATATCATATAATGTATGTCCCTGTGAAACTGTTCTTTTGTTCATTCTCATTCTCAGGCATATTCCGTACGTACTAGCACATTAAATAATCTTACCTCCCTTTCTTTCTCAAAAACACAAATTTTCATGGCGAAAAAACTCTCAAGAACTAAAACCCGAACAAATTTGCTACAAATTTTTGACACCCTGATTGTTATCCAGAACAAGTAATATAATCATCAAAGTAATGCATCACAAAATAATCTCACTTACTCAGTTTGCACAGCAACATTCAATAGCATCACATTAGTTAAAAATAGTCATGTAACATTGTCTCATATATCAGGCACAGTCATCTTAAACAACTTCCCGCAGAAAGTAAACAATACATGAACATACTATCTAATAATCTCAAACGGCAAGTTCTTAATATAAAGGCATCATATCAAGATATTATTGTGGAAAATAGAGTTTGCATGGCACAGAAGTAGTATATAGATGACAGACAACAGATGAAACCAATCAAGCTGTCGAAGTTTGTGAGAAAAGATGTCATGCAGACAGTATAGCTTTTATTTGTATCCTGGTAAGTACTGTTTTAACTAAACCACAGCTACACTTTGGCATGTAAAGATAATATTGACCATGTCAATAGTGACAACCAAGTTAAAACACCAAGAAAAGAATTTCTGCAATATCAATTTATCAGACCTGAACTTAGAACAGAAAAACCAAAGTTAATACTAAACAAGATCATGACCTATAGGAAGGACGACTTGCTGAAAGGCAAAAACATAGTCATTGTCACCAACTCCCCCACGACTCCATGGGACATTTACACAATATCCTTCCGCACCCATTGTACCAACCTGCAAAAAATATATATTATATATGTCTAGAACACCTATATCTCGAAAATAAAGCAACAAGTTCTAAAATATACATACAAATAGAAACCTTGAGATTAGACAAACAAGCCACATGCATATAAATGGAGACAAGCTTCCCTTTGTGATTGTACCCTTTTTCACAACCATGTGTTGAATACATTTCTGTTTCCATATGTTTATGAATATAATAATCTACTTACCAAAAAGAGTCCAAAATTTTCTTAGCTGAATGAATTTACTAAACTGAAAAAATAATTCAAATTCAAATAAGCAAAAGACTACTTCTGAATGAATTTACTTAACTCAATCAGTTTTGTAACAGTTTCAAAAATTTTAGATACATAAAATATTTTTCTTTTCCCGTAAGGCTAGTAAATCCGGAAGTGCATTGAGATTTTATTTTACTTTATAAATAGAACAGAAACAATGAATCAGAACTTCTGTGAAGAACTCTTTTTATTTTTTTAGGAGCTCTTCCTTATTCTTTAGCTAGCATAAAATAAAGGAGCACTGGCCCACTAGGATATGGCATAGTTCACAAACCATAGCACAAAGCAGTAGATGATAAAGAATTTGCACATAATACACACACACACAAGACACACACACACACACACATAAATAAATATATATTTTATATATATATATATATATATATATATATATATATATATATATATATATATATATATATATATATATATATATATATATATATATATATATTGGGTCGTGTGCAGCATTCTTTCATTTTCGTGAATACATATGCACAATTATTTCCCTTCAAACTACTCAGCACTCATTAATAATTTGGAAGACAATTTGAGCTCTGCAATTAACTCCACTTGGATTGTGAGTACTAGCATAGGAGTGTGTAAGCTTCCCTAATATAGCAAAACTACCGTGGGTGCATCCAAACAATAGAACCACATCACTTCAAATAAATCTACATTCCACAGTCCGGATTACAAATCAATAAACATTACAGAATCATACAAAACTCTGCATCAACCAAGAAACTTAATATGGTCAAAAAGTTTGTATTTTGAGTACAGTGTTTTTAGCGTACTGTGAAGAAATCAATCAGAATAAAAATTTAACATTCCATGAAAGCATACCGATTTATTTTTGTCGAAAATTTCTTGTGTGCCATTGCCATGATGCACGTCCTGTGAGTAACATATAGTGATAAGTAGTAGCCAGTAGGTCAATCTCAATTTAAAGCAATTTTGACATAGGTTTAAAAGTTATGGAAATTACCCAGTCAATAATCAAAACCTTCTTAGCTCCTGCATTCTGAGCTGCTAGTGCAGCAATGGCTGCATTATTGTGAAGGCAAAAACCCATAGCTTGTTTTACTCCAGCATGATGACCAGGTGGACGAACCTGGCTCATTGGAGAATGAGTTTTTAAGCATTAATATAAATTTATTTATTTATAAAAAAATTGCTCAAATAAGAGGTCTTTAGAGACTTCATTAAGCTCTCTTACCAAGGCAAAACCATTTTTGACACTTCCAGAAAATATAGCTGCAGCAAGATCAAAACATAAACCTGCAGCCAGCCTGGCAGCTCTTGCTGAATTTTGATTTGCATATGTATCAGATGTGAAGTAGCTGCAGACATGGATAAAGTTACCTTTTGTTTCATTTTTCTATGACAAATTTTCACATGACGTTAGAGGCCATTGAGATGTATAAGAATACCTAGAGAAAACTTGACTTGTAAGTTCAACAGCTTCAATATTCTCGAGGGAGTGGACCTAAATACCAAAAACGAAATGCATCATCTAAAGAGCAATACTATATTTTCCAAGCACACATGAAATGATCAATTTCAAGCTGACTTCCAAACCAAAATGAAATGGGCAGCTGCCATATTAGAAAACCAGAATCGATACCAAAATATTCAAAAGAATTTGCACTAGAAGATTTTTTCACAGTGAATTCACAAATTTAGCATGAAAAACTTCAAGCATGGCAATCAAATTAATCATAGAATCAGAAATCATTACGACAACAATTCAGTTCTTTAAGCTACTATTTCTTACCATCAGGAGTTCTTCTCGGGTAATTTCTCTAGGTGGGATCGGATAACACCTTCCTGGAAATATACCTACCATTTTATAGGAAGCACCAGTTTATTGTTAGTAACTTTACCGAAATAAATTCTTTAGAGATAATTGATAGTATAAAAATGACAGTATGATACACCCAAATGCATTGCTCTTTCATGTTATAGGTCCTTAGGAGTGCATGGTGGTTTATCTATAAATAGGAGTAACTGTCACAAAACCTGTGGCTGCAAGGCTAGCGGCAATAGCTCGAAGACGATCAGATCTTTCTGGATGAGGATGAGACTTCTGTACCACCTTTTTCAGCAAAATAAATAACAGTTAGAAGTTTAGCTCAGACCAAACAAAGCAGCAAGGAAATTTCCATATCTGCTTGAGCTGTATCCTTCAAGGAAATAAGGAATACAACATAAAAATAACGCTAAATCATGAGTATGTCTAGATAAGAAATTGCTAACAAATCATCTAATTGTATTTACAGGTATATCACAAAGCTAGTAGACGAAGGCAAGAGGCATTATTAGGTAATGTACAAAAAATGGTCAAGTAAATGCAGTCGGAACTACCATACTTCTTCATGGAGTAACATTCTTTCGTCGAAACCTATGGCAGTACGGTTGTCGGAGCCAATACTTTGCAAGCTCGGATCTGTGATGTTCAAAGAAAAAGGAAACATTAATTTATTTCAACTGCAAAGAATTGTGGCATTGACCAATTTAAATTTACAAGAAAACGGAAATACGAATAATACGGATAACCATTATAAGCCATGAAGCTACGCGATAAACTATAAGGGATATATTTATAGAATTTTAACTCAACCTGAAGATTTTAACATTTTCAGGTATCAATAAATAATAAAGAAGCCTATGTGCATAAATAATATAAAGCCACCTTAGCTACACCAAAAGTCACCTGTTTTTAGAAACCACATGAGATCAGTGGTAGGTTTACCATGGTAGAGGTCCAACTATTCAATTCCTTTATATTTGAAACTATTTATATCGACTTTTTCTTTAGAGGAAACTATTTATATCGATTGGATGTTTACTAACTTTATCAGGAGTGACACTTATGCCAGAAACCGAACTATAAGAAAAACGATGCAACAAAATATTTAAAATCTAGGCAAGATAGAATAGTGAAGCGCCAACTTTGGCACTCCTCTTTCATTTCAGATGTAACAATATCTTTAAAATCAGCAACACGTAATGAGGGTTTCACTTGTTGGAGGACTTGACCAAAGAACTTGTTATACAAGCTGAGAAAATCCACGCTAGATGCAGATACACTCTTGAGAAATCTGACAAGTTTTTTAATTGTTCTTGTAAAAGATTTTCTCTTATTCGAACTCAAGGATTCGAAGGACACATCTGACTGGAAATTGAGTAGCTATGTTAAGTGCAACAAAATTGCTGATAGCTTGGAAGCGAAACAAAATTAAGCAGGACAAAATTGGATTGCACTTCTTATGATCATAAAGTCACAACATTTCCCACACTTGTTAAAGCATCAAAGCTCACCATGGCACAAAGTTTAAAAAGAGCCAAGGCACAGGCCGAGACGCATGCCTTATCAAAGTGAGGCTCCTTGTTGCATATATAAGAATTCACATATATACTACAAAATTAAGTCATATATAATATATCACAATGAAATCAAAGTTTGCAATGAAGATTTTTTTGACAAATAGTAAATAAGATACAGATAATAATTACACAAATTTCGGATTTTATATAGGCAAATTTAGCAGTTATATCAGTAGATTCCGCAATAATATAGCAATTTTAGAAGTCATGTAAGCAATTCAGCATTCATTTAAGCATTTCAATTATGTTCCACGAGTTCAGCAATAATTTAGTAGTAATGTCACATATCTGGCAATATTTTTTAGCAATTTAAGCAGATCTTACGAATTAAAATCTAATCAAATAGAACAGCAATAAAATCTATAAAAAAAATAAGATAAGTACAATAAAGGAGAGAAAAACAATAAAACAGATAGCAAAACGTGCCAAAGAATCTTGAAAAGAAAGAAAAAAAATGAAAGAAGGAGAAGGAAGAAGAATAAAACAAGAAGGAATGAAACAAAAGAAAAATAAGAGAAGGAAGAAACCCCAGCCTGCGAAAGGAAAAGAAAATGAAGGGGAAGAGGAAGTCATTCCTAGTTGAGCTCATTAGAGAGGATGGAATGTGAACTGCTGCTTTCATTTCTCCTTTTGTTTTCTCCAAAAACCAAACTTCTGTGAAATTCTTTCTAAGAGAGAGGCCAAGGTGACTAGAATTGAGGCCGACAGGTGAAAATTATTACCCCTTACAGAGGCTTTCATAAGAACATTGGATTGATCTCCTAGCTTCCCAACCCTTCATTTTGTGGAAATGCCATAAGTCGGTTTGATTCTTAGATAACTACTTTACAAATTTACTTACGGGAACTAATTAGCTACATTGCGCCCATTCACAAATCAATTCTCTCAGACCATCAATGTGGCTATCACAACCTATATATTAGTTCGTCACAATAAATGTGTACTATCTTGACACGTGGCAGATCTTAAAGATTGAGGTATTCAACGGAAGAAGTAAGTTTGGAGATATTGTGGGTTCTATGCATACATGACTTTCAGAGTATAGGGAAGATAAAACAACGAGTACACCACATTGAGCCTATTGACTCTTGCACTCAAATTAGGTTAAGAAGAGATGGAAAGAATTAATACTTCAAGAAACTAAGCCAATGTATGTAAACTAAGAACAAGGACAGAGTAGTAACGACTCACAAACGGGAAATATAACTTTCCCTCTAGTAATTTTTCCCCACTTCTTTTATATTATTATACCAAATAAGACAAAGAAACAATTATAAGATACAAGAATGTTCTTTCACTTTTCCTTTGTTAATAAAATTTAAACTCTGTGAGCGTAATTGTAGCCGGATAATACTTTATGTCATACCGAGCACGTGTCAAAATTCTTACTTTAGCGGGCATGCGGATAGGTAACACCTCATTGTTATTTAATGAGTCATACAAGGAAAAACTATGATATCCAATCACAAAAATGATATCCGGTTAACGGTTGAATAAATACAAACCTTGGAGAGCAACAGCTACATCTGCACCATTTTGAGCAAGGCCTTGTTCTGCTGGATGAAGGGAAGAGGCCAAAAATCCGCGCTGTAGGATTCCAGATTCTCTATGTTCACCACATAGCTGCTTACAAGAAAGAAAATAAATAATTCATAACTAGTCTGTATTTACAAGTAAAAAAGATATGAAGATGATGATGATGCCCTACATCACAATGAAAGTCATGCCCAATATTAGGCCAAGTGCAATTGATGCAAAACCACTTTGGAATTTCGACAACATTATTATGGTCAGATACAGCTGAAGGGTCCCAATCACTGTCATCATCCTCGTCGTCTTCAAATTCATATTCGTTGTTGTACATTTCTTCTACAGTCATATCATCACCCTTCATGGTTCACCGGAACCCTAGCGGAGGCCACCGCGACAAAGTTCCGGCATATAGCGCTGCCGTGTTCTAAAATATTAAATAAACGATTTATCAGCTGGAACGGCAATATATGCGGCTTATCGGACGGAACGGGCTAGAATGGGGTCGCACCGCTTCAGGCGGTGTTCGTGGTCTAACTGTGTTCTTCGTGGCGGCGGAAATGGATTAGGGCTGGTGACGGCGACAATTTTTATGTTAGTTCTGATTTCACTTGAGTTTTCAAATGTTTCAACTTTGTCCCTAAATTTTATGATCTTATATATAAAAAGAAGATATTTTGACCTATAACCCTAACCCTAAACTTAGGGGTATTTTTGACAATTTTTATTCTCGCAGTTTCTTTTTTTTCGAAGGTAACGATTAAAATGAAAAATAAAAGAAAAGTAAAAAACAACAAAAAAACGCAGAAGACACGATCAGTAACTGCTCTCCATTCATCTCACGTATTCCGCTTCTCCCGAAAATCCCTTTGAACACCAAAAACTGCAACAAAAAGTAATTTTATTTGGCACTGCTCAACATTCTTCATCTCCTGAAGCCAAGAATTATAGAGTTCCGGGAAGATTGAAGAAACTCCCTTTTCATCCCTCCCGTAGAAAACCTCAACGGAATTTTCCAAGCTTCCATATTTCGGGTATGAATTGAAGGAATATGGCCGAAGAAAACATCAAATTTTTCAGTTTTGTTAAGTCCTTCTGTATTCGGTGTATGCATGTTCTCATGGATTTGTTTTTTCTTCAAAAATTAGGGGTCATGTGATTATTCTAAATAAACACACACTGAAATGCATAGAGTAAAATCGGTGAAATTGAGGTGAAAAAGGGGTTCAACTAACATACGAGATCAATGACAGTGGACAGTTGCCCATAGGCTTTCATCATTGGAATCTGATTCGTCAAAGGCCAAGCAAAAGTGCGGTGATTCGACTCTGTTGGTGATTTCGACCTCATTATCGTTTTTTTTTAACTCTGTAGACAGGGTTAGGATTTGAGTTGATTTAAGTATTTTTCCATTGTTATACGTCTATCTGACGAGGATATAACTTATCAATTACCACTAAAAAACTTATAGTAGCCTCCACTGATGCGCATAATCTTGAACCCCCTCTGAAAGAGCTAACTAACAGCAAATTAGTAAATGTTGAGCCTCTCTCTGGGAGAAAAGATGGTGGAAAAGATAGAACACATAAACCATCACGGATGTGGCTGTGGGATGCATTTTGGAACCGAGTTAAACCATCCGGTAAAATGAGTTTTTATTATTCATACGGCAACGATTAAATTAGAAAATATTTATGTTCATATTTTTATTTTCAAACCTCAATGCCTTCTATGTAAAATGCTATAAGACATAAGTGATCTTTAAGCTTTTTTTTCTTGATAGAAGTTGGATCCGGAGTTACAACTAACAAGAGATTTGGAATCACTAAAGGAAGAGTGCCTTCTTAATTATGTATGTAGTCTATGCAGAACTATATTCTAATTCTTGATATGGCTCTACTGTTTGGAATGACATGTTTGTAGCAGCAGCAAATGGTGCGAGAAGTTCTCATCTCCATGCTTCCTCTGGTGCGCTTCCTCGAGTATTGCCCCCTTTTTGCATTCTTTTTTTCCTGGCTTTTTATGAACCTTGGATTTATTTAAATGGAAACATTATTAATACTAATTACATATACTGTATGGAATTCGTATCAAAATGATTTTAGGATGAAATAACACGAACATCAAACGTTCGTGTATTATGTTTATCGCGCATGTAGATTGTAGATACCAACATGTAAAATGAATTGTTCGAGAGTTGTTTTATTTCTTCTTAAATTCTTCGTAGGCGAATTTATTCAGTTTCTATTTTTTGTTTTCAGATAGTTTTTTTTTTTTTTTTTTTTAATAATTTATGTATATTCATTATTGTGTTTCACTTCATATAGCCTGGATGCCTTGACAAGAACAATTACGAAAAAAAAAACCCCATTTCTGTTTTGCGTTTATGTAAAATTTGGTTTCAGAAAAATGTGTTCACCTGCTCAAATATAAGAAGATCAGGGTGTGCAATACTTTTGCTAACAACAGAGGTAAGTCTGGATAAATTGTTTGATGCATTAGTTCTCATGAAATTCTCAAGTAGGGCCTGATAAAGACAGATCAAGTTCATCTGACCATGAATAAAGATCAAATTCTATTGCACGGTCACTTAAGCATTCCCAGCCTACTCTCTCCTCCAAAAATAAGTATATAGCCAAACTCAAAAGGATGAGTGCACAGATCTTTATGTACGGTTCTTTGGATCGCAATGTCCGCAAGTGGGATCTTGTGTGATCGAATGCGTATCAGGTTAGTACATCTCATTCTTAGTTTGCATTTTTTTTCACTAATAATTTTACATTTGACTTGAATATCTATTAATTTTACATGTTGATTCTGCATTGATTAATTTACTTCTTTTGCCGACATATTGAGTTTTAGAAAATCCACCTTCTCATGGACATAGAAGATTACTTTGTCTGTGATATTAATCGAAATTTATATTCAAAACTTTAAGACATTCGGGCACATGATATGGTTATTGGAATTATTGGAGTGCCTCCAAGATTGTTTTGCTTTTAAAGGACATATCTGATGTGTGCTCACTAATGTAGCTTTCTGGGAATTTTACATCTGTTTGCAGTGATGATGGAAGGATGTGCGATCAAATTATTCGATTCTAGATTATTTTTCCTATGAGATCCATTTTTATATTTAGGGTTCTTTCGATACTAAAAGATGTGTATTATATAACAAATTGTTACAAGTATTATTCTCTATTGCACACAATTAACTTTTTTATTATTCACTATCAAGTTCAATTGTTCCATATTGCAAGTATGAAAAAATGTATATTACTACAACTTTTAATGTAAATATCTTCTGATTTATTAACACTACACGAAAAAAACATAAAAAATAATGCGTTTGCTTAATTGTGACAAAAGTCTCGAGAGAGTAATGCGATGAAGCAAAATATATCTTGAGATGCATAAAATGTGAATATGGTTTAACCTAATAAAATCAATTCAACTGTTGAAAGTTAAAAAATACAGTTTCATGTATTAGCTCAACATAGAAATGTAGATGACCAATCATGTGATTCAACAAGAAAATGTTCCGATAAAACTAAAAATGAATTATATTATGTTTGCCAAAAAATAAATTTCATCCTCGACAATTCTCTATTAACTTTGCTATGACTAATTGACTATAAACGAAAGTCACGAGTAATCTCTCCAACATGTTGCCATTTATCATTAGAAATCTTTTTCACCAAGGGTTACCAAACGCAATAATTTAAAAATTCTCATCACCGACAAAGAAGAACATACTCCAAATATTACAAGAAAGGTTTTACAAAATTAAGTATTTTAAATTTACTATAATTATATCATTTGGTATTCTTTCCTACCATATTTATCACTTACAATAAATATACACTTCCAATAACTCCCCATAATAACTTCTCACATCCATCGTATATAAACATATATGTTTCAAGATAACTGTTCATATTTAACATTTATTGTGTTTTAAGAGAAATATACGGCAATGAATGATTCGTCTAGCAATTTTTGATCGTATTCCATTATTGAGTGTAGCTTAAGGACCCTCTTACTTTTATATCCATTTACCACTTCTTTTCTATTATTATTATTATTATTTATTTTATTTTTTTAATGAAAGAATATCAATTTTGTTAAAACTAAATTGTAAGATATAGATGGTCTTTCACTGACTTTTCTCATATGTCAATCTTGAGGCCGTTAAGAAACAACGGGATAAGAGATGACAAGTAGTGGTGATATTTTGTACTTGGACAAGTCATAAATTAAAACCCCATGTTGGATTGCTCAATTGTAAAAACTATTGTTGATCGTACTAACCAAGTTCTCAATATTAGTTATTCATCTATCTATGATTTTTTTTTATGATGATGTGTACGTTCTCAATTATTTAACTTTAGTATATCGAGCATAATGCATTTTAAATAATTTATTTTGTACTCTTTTCGCAATGGTATCCCGTGCAACGCACGGGTCATGGTTACTAGTTTCTATTAAAACTAGGAACAATGCCCGTGCGTTGCACGGCATACCATTACAAACATAAGAACATAATTATTTAAAGCTTAATATACTGAATTAAATAACTAAGAACATATCACAACATTAGAACATCATAATAAGATGAATAAATGATTATTGAGAACTTAGTCAATACAATTAGGCATTAGCAACAATTTTCATGATTGAGCAGTCAAACCTGAGGTTGTATAGTTTGTCGAAGGACAATATATCATCACTAACCATCGCTTGCTAAGTTGTTTCTCAACACCCTCAAAATTAATATTTGGGGATGTCGTGGCAAAGTGTACAAAACTATGTAGTAGATCTTATAAGAGTCATGAAAAGACCTATATTTATCTCAATACATATTTTAAATATGACTCGCTTTTCTTGAAACATATATGTTGTTATATGGTGGATGTGGGTAGGTATTATTGGGGAGTTATTTTAATTATTAGGAAAAATATAGATAATTAATATAACTGAAATAGAATAGAAAATGACTAAAATGTCATCAGGTTACCTCTGGGATTATAGGTCAAAAGTTCGTATTTTTATAGATAAGATACATAATTTTTAATAAATTTCTATCAAAATAAAATTATTTTACTTGCTGAAAAAATAGATATGTCAATTGAATTAAGAGTCAATCATTTCATAAGAATCGTAGTAAACTATTTTTTGACATGCTAAGAAACATCAAAATATTCTTTAATTCATTTTTAGAATAAAACAGGTTGATACAAAATTAAAAATTCAAACACCTCAGTTTTCATAGATCCATCGGTAAGGAAAAAACCACTCTCGAAATCATCGGACTTCTAGAGACAAACTCTCAGTCCACCTCTCTCTATGTTCTTTTAATCGAGAAGAAAGAAACTTATGATAATCAGCAACCTCTGACTTTGCCTAGATGTGCCGAGTCAAATAGTCACCATTATGTAGAATCATGAAGCAAACTATTGTTCCGCTCTTCGTAATGATCATAACATATAAGATTAATGTTTTGGATAGGAAAATTTCCGTTAGCATGAGACTTATGCTCCGGTTAAGCCCTTTCGTTTCTTCTTGTAGTTGTTCTTCATGCTAACCTCAACTCCTTGCCCTCCATGATGTAACTATATATATCCATACAGACTGGAACAAAAAAAAACAC